GGGGGCTCAAGGTCTGGGACTCCCCTCACCCTGTGCCCCACAGGGAAATGGGATAATGGCCAGAGCAGCACCTGCTTTCTGGTCAGAGGGGAGAGGCCCCTGGGTGTCATATTCTGTACTAGAGAGACTTGCCCAGATGTCACTGCTTGTCTGGGCACGTAAGGAGTCAGGGGAGGCCATGCCTGAGATCATCCTTCACCACATATTTGACCTGCAGCCATCCTGGAAACCAGGAGTTTTTCTTTCAGGTCTTGTTTTTGGTCTGAGAACAGTTTTGGACCTGACTCTGCCTTTCTGGGTCACTCACCCCTGCCCAGGTCAGGAGCAGGGTCTGTGTCCTCCTTAGAGACCTGCACCCTCCCACCCTGGGCTCTCACCCGATGATCCCAGATTCCCCAGACAGGGCTGGGCTCTGGGTTTTGTGCTTCCTCCTCCACACCAATGTCCTGACCATTCTGAGGATGGTCATGTGAGGCTGCTTCAGTGTCTGTGGAGGACACTGAATAATTATGCAAAATGTGAGTTACCGATTTTTTCCCCTTCAGATCTCCCAAAGACACAGGTGACCCACCACCCCACCTCTGACCAGAATGTCACCCTGAAGTGCTGGGCCCTGGGCTTTTACCCTGCGGAGATCACCCTGACCTGGCAGCGAGATGGGGAGAACCTGACCTGGGACACTGAGCTGGTGGACACCAGGCCTGGAGGGGACAGAACCTTCCAGAAGTGGGCAGCTGTGGTGGTGCCTTCTGGAGAGGAGCAGAGATACACGTGCTATGTACAGCATGAGGGGCTGCTGGAGCCCCGAGTCCTGAGATGGGGTGAGGAGGGGATGTGGGCACAAAGACTGCTCTTTGGGGATCAGGGTCCTCTTGACCTCTCAGAGTGTCAGGATGAGGCCTGGGGCTCAGGGTTTCCCCTCCCCTTCCCTTCCAGAGCCCCCTCCTCAGCCCTCCACCCCCACCAGGGGCCTCATTGCTGGCCTGGTTCTCCTTGGAGCTGTGCTTACTTGGGCTACAATGGCTGCAGCTGTGATGTGGAGGAAGAAGCGCTCAGGTAGGGAAGGGAGTGGGGGATCCTGTCCACAGGGGGCTTTTAAGTCACAGGGGGGAACTTTCCCTGCCTGGTAAATGTAGGTACTATCCACATCCACATGTTCCTTAGTCTGGAGCTGATTGCTAATTCTCTTGTAAAAAATACTTATGAAAAGGAATCAGATTATTCATGTTGTTATTTCTGGGGACCTGACCCCCAGCAAATGTCAAAGGGTCCAGGCCCCCTCATCTCCTTTCTCCATATTTCCTGGCCCTGCCCTGGTCTTCGGTCACAGTCTGGAAACTTCTCAGTGTTTTGAACTAAGGGATTCCTTTAGACTTCATGGGCTGCCTCCTCCTTGCTCTCACATGATGTTTCTTCCCACAGGGGAACAGGGAGGAAGCTACACTCAGGCTGCAGGTGAGTGTGGATCAGGGGTTTGGTCCCTGAGCCCCTGAGACAGTGTAGATGGAGCCCCTGGGGGAGTCACCCCATCAGCCCCTCCTGTGGTCTCCTCTCTCGTGGCTCTGACCAGGTCTGTGTTGTTCTCCCCCAAGCAGCCACAGTGCCCAGGGCCCTGATGTGTCTCTCAGCCTCTAAAGGTGAGACCCTGAGGCCTGTGTGGGAGGGGCTGGGGCAGAGAGGAGGGACCAGGTTATGGGGGGCTGTGAGGGGACATTCTGAGATGTGGTAGACTACTGAGGAAGTTAACACTTAAGGTAATTAATTCTCCTGTATTTCTTCAATTTTATTTTCTTTCACAGCGTGATACAATAGGCTTGTGTGGGACTGAGACCTATTAGATTTCTTCTGATTCCCATTTTGTGATTCATGATCTCATGGTTTAAACTACAATGAAAAACCACTTTAGACCTGTGAGAAAGGCCCAAACCAAAAAGACCAGAAATACCGAGTGCTGGCGAGAACATGGAGAAGAGGACACAGGTTCTACTGTTTGGAGGGTAGTAGACTGCGCCAGCTCTTGTGAAAAACAGTATTGAGGTTTCTGAAAAGACTAAAGTTGGATCTTCTGGGGAGTGCACAGGCCCTTCCCTAGTGCTTGGTGAGGGCACAGATTCAGGCTGTAACCACCCCCTGGTTACTGAGTGACAGCAGCCAAGCTGGGCAACCACCTCAGTGCCCAGGACAGGGGAGGGGCAGGGTGGGATCCAGCTGTCAGAAACACCAACTCCTGCCATCTCTGCAGCGGGGCTGGCGCTGGAGGGGACTGTGCTGACCCGTGGGGTCAAAGGAGAGAGACAGACACCTGAAGGCGTCCCTACATGTGACCAAGGAGACGCCAACCCACACAGAGGCCAGGTGGGGCAGACTTCAATCCTAACCGTGCGCCCCCAGTCTGTGCCTGGTGCTGGCCAGGGCTGCAGACCAGCCCGGGCTTCCTGTCTTGGCAGCGCTGAGGGGAGTGAATCTCTCTAGCTTGGATCAGACTTATTTGATGACAAATCCTGATGCCAGCTGACGGGGTCCCCCATTGTGTCTTGTTGCGCCTACAACACCCCAGGATGCTCCAGCCCCTGCTGTTTGCTGGGCTGAGACAGATCTTGTACTCGATGCTGCAGGTTATGATTTTATAGCATTTTTATGTCCAACCACATGGCCAGAAGGTGACACCTGTGAACAAACTGTTCCTCTCCTGACTGACAAATATTGGTGCTTTGAGCCTTTTTTCTCTTTGCAGCACTGAACTACTATTTTGTTTATTTTTGTTTATGATCATTCTCTAGTGAACCACCCACAGTTTTTAAAGACCTAAGTCTATGATGAACCATGTTTACAGTCACCTCAATACCTTGGTTAAGTTTCCCACCACTTCCTGGCTCCTGTGGGGCTGAGGCTATAGCCTATTATATATAGCACAGGAGAGTCTCCACAGGCTACACCCAGCTCATCCCAGTGTGCTGTCACCCTTTCTCAGTGACATGTCCCCTGACAGTCCTTCACCACAGACCCTGTGTGAGCGCGTCCCCAGACCTCTCCTCCGGGAGATTCCTGCTCACCTGCAGGCCACGCTCCTCCCCTGTGAGGCCTCTTCAGCGTTTACCTGTCCCCTCTCCCCTCTCATCTTCCCACTGCTCAGCAGATTTATTTAGGTTGTACATCTCGGTCAGTAACAGTACCCCACCACACTCATTAAGAAGATCCCATTGTGCTTAATGCACCAGGCTCTGGCCTGACAAGAGCAGGACACAGCGCACAGACGGCACCTGGTCACTAGTGGCCCTGTCTCCACCCTGGCAGTGACCACATGTGGACTGTAGTCACAGGAGCCTCCATCTGGCAGCAGCTCTGGTGTGATCCATAGTGACTGTGGGAGTGGCCTTGTCACGTGTCACATGTCCCGTGTTCTCTGGGGACACTGCAAATACTACATTTTACTGATAAATACATAAAGTGGTATTTCAAAATATATTGATACTACCATGATTTAATCCAGATGGGAATTATTGAGTTTAATATTTTGATGTTTATTTTTAAACACCATTATGTGGTAAGTGTAAAATCGTGTGAATATTCATACATTTAGAAGGGAAATGTGATGCCTGCACAGGATATTTGACTACTGGTTTTTGAGTAAACTGAGGTAGTGCAGTTTTGATGTTTCAAAGTTACAAATTCTATGAGGAGAAACGATTGCCCACCGTTTCTTTGTATCACACGTCAATGAAATCACCTGGCATTTGTTGTTCTCCTTCTGATTCCACTGAGTCTGCTTTCTTCCATTTCTAGCCATGTTTTTATAAATCGAAGATTTCATCATTTTCCACAGCTGAATATGCCACTGTGTATATTATACCACATGCTCTTGATCCACTCATCTATTTTAGACACATAGGTAGATTCCATCATTCGGCCACTGTAAGTATCTTTGCAGTAAACACAAGAGCACATATATGTGGTGTCCAGCCTTCCTCTTCCTCAGTCATCACTCCTGGGACCCCTCCATGCTCAAGCTACAAATATCTTCACATCATATCACCTCCCAGATCTACTTCTTACTCAGAGGAGGGTCTCCACCTGAGTCCTCAATGAGGTCAAATCCACTGGCCACACCAGAGTGAGGTGGGTGCTCACAGGGACAGGCCCCGCTCCCTCTCCAGGCAGTCACATATTGTTAAGTTGAATGTAAAAATCCCTCCTGATGTTGCCATCGTGATGGACAGACATGAAGTGGGCGAGGTTATGTACAGGGCTCCAAAATGTCTACAAAATGACCAAATTCTGGCCTCTGTTCAGACAGAATAAGGATAATTTTTCGTATAGTGGCTCTTAAGATATTAGAAATTTCTGTGTCCACAGCAGGACAAACCCTATCTAAAGACATGGGTGTTTGCGGTATATTGGTGGAAATGTCCTAACCCGCCATTACCAGGAACAAAAGTCCTCCCAAACTGCCTCCTG